AATGATAAATCCCAATTAACAATAACATGTTGTAGTGCATTACTGAGTCGTGTAAACTCACTGGGTTACAGTAGGTAATATGCAGAGGTGGCAAAAGTACAGACTTTCCTTACTTAAGTAGAAATAAACTGTGTTAAAAACACTCCAGTAAAAACTGAATTATTGAAGAAACTTTTTTACATAAGTAAAAGTGAAAAAGTGCCTACTCTGAAATCTACTCAAAGAAAGTAAAAAGTAGCTCCTTAAAGGACAATTCTACTAACCATTTGTGTACAACTGAACCTTATATAGTAATGTAACAGTAAAATGATATTTTAACATATCTAGAATAAAAAAAATCTTCTAATCTAAATTCTAATTCAAATCTGGTATGTAGGACACAAGGAAACAAATCATTTAAAAAATACCTCCTTTCTGTTGCCTACATGGTAGAGGGTGACTTTGCCTGCATACCAAAACAGTCAAATGAGAACAGTCAGGGATTACAGTAGGATTCAGCAGGTGGGGAACACTATGATCTCTGTAGTGGCTCAGCAAAGGGAACATATTGAGAAGTTAATAATTAAGTTAGAATTAAGCAAATTCTCTTCTACACTTGACGTAACCTAAATCTGACCATGAGTACCACAGCCACTGTGCACCAGTCCAACACAGAGCTTTACTGTGAGCTCACCACATTAATGCAAGCTAACCTGTTTATCTTTAAGAAAACTACACAGAATGTTCATGCTACGTTTCAATAAAACTGAGCGGAAACTTCACGGTGTGGGTTTCTATGCCTGAGCAGCTCTTGTAGGCCATCACTTTTGTCCTTCAAAATCACTGCCTTAACAGTGAATTAACTTTTTTTTTGGTTTGATTACATACTTACATTGCATGAGAGTTTATTCACAAGAGTGTAACAAAGATCCATAGATAATTTCTCTGCTGTTGGCTAACAGCAGCTAACAGATAAAAACAGCAGTTCTTTCTGACAGAAAAGTTCAGGATATTCTCAACAACTAACCTCAGTATTAATATCATCTGTCAGAAGTGAGTCTCACTGACTCATCAGCCCATCCAGTAAACGGTGGAATGACAGCCTACCCGGTCCAACAAAGAGCTTAAGGGTGGATCAGGTCGGGAGCAATTTTGCTGTCTGAATTCACTAACTACAGATGAACACTGGCCAGTTTTGGGGGTAACTCTGGGATAAGAGTGTATAATACTGACAAATATTTAATTGACAAAAATCCAGTTTATTATTTAGTGCTGATATTATTCAGATATGTTAAAATATTGTGCATATACAAACAGTACTGGAAATACACCACAGAAACACACACAGTACGAGCCTCCTCAGATTTCAGCATTTCAGACCATTGAAGTTGCTTTTTTTTTCCTGTCAGTTTTAGCTGAAGATTCATGGCCAGGGAGCAGCTGTTTACCTGCACACACATGGGGGCATAGTGGCATGTGGCTAGCACTGATGGATCACAGTGGGTACTCTCGCGTACGCCAGCTTCCTTCTACAGTTCAAAGGGTGAATCAGGTCGGGTTTAGTGGTTATTCTAAATGACCCGCAGGTGTGAATGTGAGTGTTTATGGTTGTCTCTCTTTCTGTCTTAGCCCTTTGACAGACTGGCAACCTGTCCAGTGTGTGTGCCGCCTCCCGCCCTATAGCAACTAGGATAGGCTCATGCCCCCCTATGACTTCGATAAGCAGAATAGGACGTATGGCTGTACACAGATGTTTTCAGATATGTGTTGCTGATCTTTAACTTTAAACATTTATTTTTAGCTGACATTTATTTGCTGCAACATCAAAGTGGTGTGACAGCTTGACTTAGCTGTAGACTTCAGTTACTTTAGGATGGTTTTAAACTTTGTTTTCTGTTAACACTAAAAGTGCCTTTAAAGGGGTATTTTGCTTACAACTTTTTTTATTGGTGTGTTTCCAGGATTTTCTAAAAGGTGTTGAACAACAACAATGAAGTGTGGCCAGAGGACACTTAATGGGCATGCCAGCCTCTTATGATCTTGAGGAATAGTAGGGGCTCAAAAAATGAATATTTAGTATGTTCATTAACAATATATCTGGCTCAGTTGTAAGAATGATTAATAAGAAGTTTGTGGCTGAAAGTCATTTAATGATATTTATCTCTAATGGTCATGAATAGAAACCCCAAAACAATTTAAATTTCAGATGACAGTTTCCCTTTAGTGACCTCAACTGAATGGGCTAAAATAAAACAACCATAACAAATGTATCGTCATGGGGCCGGCCGGGCAGACACAGGGACCATGACATGTGGTACATCACCCAATAAGTGGTAAATGTAATTGTATACGGTACCGGTAAATGACACATTCCAACATTTCCAGAATGCACATGAAGGGCAACTAATTTTATAGAGATTGTTTTTCTTTGTTAGCCTTTTTATATACCCCCTGACAACAGCTAACAAGCGTTGGGTGCCTTAACTACTCTGCTGTAATTAAAGCAATTTGTGCCTTTAGCTATTGGTGATAAAATAAGTGAAAATAAAAGTGGAAAGAATCAGGACATGCACTAAGAGTAGAGGTACCTCAGAAATACGCTTAATTATATCCTTATATAGTGTTTGATACACATGCATGGTACGACCCAGCTCAAAAGCCGCAACATAAAAAAGGAGACAAATACCATAGTGTTTGTCAGAAGAGGTTTTTTTTTTTCTTAAAATGGAATACCAGGTTGACTAAAATGGCTGGTGCCACCAAGGCAAAGACAAGTGAGCTCCCTGGAAGCTTGCCTCAGGTATGCTTTTATCCACACCTGACTAGGTGTGGCCAATTAGCACCAGCTGAACACAATGAGGAGATTAGCGGCTGCAGAGGGACGTAACAATGCAATCATCAACACAGCAGGTCACACAGCCTTCCTGGTGCTGTACTGTTTCTCTCCATATGAACAGACTTTGAAGGAAACCAGACACAATCAAAGCATTAAAAAACACTTCTTGTTTGAAGCTTCTTGTTTTATTGGTTTACAGCATTGATTCAAAGGTGATTTCTTGGTTCTTACAGACAGAGATCAACAGCAAAGACCTCTCAGCAGCTACATGAAATATTCACATTTTTTAATAAGGTAGGACACACATAATCAATCGGTCAGTACTGAAGTCCTCTCTTCATTGTTCATTATTTATTTGCTTCAATATGATGAGTTGAGTTTCTGTGGTGATGGCACAGAGATTCAGACACGTCATTAAAGTAAAAATGCAAACAGCTGTAACTTGTACAGACTTTGCAGTCAGGTTTGCAGAGATTCAACACAGAAAAATAATTCAAGCTTTAGAGGGGCTTCTCTCAAATGTTTGACTCAGTGGAACGTCTAGATACATCTAAAGAAACTTTTAGAATTTCTTAGAGATCGGTTAGCAATGCCCTAGGAACATCTAGGATAAACTATGTATTCACTGACAAAGGTCACTGAGGTTTTTGCAGTCTCTCATAATTTGCATGGAAGATGCTGAGCTGGCTGCAAACACTCACCATTTACTCTCTGAGTAAGTGCAACAGAAACAGAAAATGTTCCCTTATAAAGTAAAACGTTAAATGTGATGATAACATTAGTAAGACAAAGCCTTTACTTAGAAGGTGAAGAATCTCCATTTCCAGTTTGTGGCACACTTTTTTCACAGTTTCATTACAGTTCAGAGAGCCGTTAACAAGTTATTTCTAGACAAGTTCAAACTTCTGGCAACCTGCTAGTAACCAAAGCAGTTATCAGTGCAGCACTGTATACCCGTTTGTGACCAATTTCTTGTCAACTGACAGTCAGGGAGCACACATTTTTCCACAGCGACCAGTGGTTGTACTCTCTGATGTGTCCCTAGTATTGTGGGACAGAGCCCTTAAAAATTAAGTACCTTGAGGGATACAATGTCCCGTCATGAGAGCAGTGTTTCCAGAGTAAATTCAAATAATGCCCATTTGGTGCCACTTAGACACCAACAAGAGAAACCTGTCCTTTTCATGTCTTAAAGAGACCTTGATGTGAGCCAGCCACAGGAATGACTGTACAGTAGTGTCCGAAACGAACAGACCCCAAAGGTTCAACAGCAGCATCTTAGAGCAGTGTTTTTCAAACCCGCCATTCATACTGTATGTGTCACTGATGTGGTGACAAACAAAATAAATTTGCAGGGCACAAAATCTTTGAAAACCACTAATGCTCTGGTCTACTAACATAATTGGCTAACAACAAACAACTAGGATTATAATTCAGGTGTGAGTGTGTGAGCATCTAAACAGAAAAGCTTTAATGCCAAAATGTACTCCTAGGATCTCATTTGAAAGGAAACATCTTCTATTTTCTGAAAATGTCCTGTTTGTGTGAATGAAACTAAACTCACACCTAACTTTAGCTGAGTTGCTGATGACCTGGTGGATGAAGCTAACCAACTATGCAGTAGTTAACGATGCATAAAGTGCCTGAATTAGGCTTAAATGTGTTCACATATGCAGCTGGATGTCTTCTGTGGTAGCAAAATGTATGTGGACACACAGGATATGGGACTGTTTGGGTACTCCTCTAACTCAGTTGTGGTAAAGGTGTCATCAGGACTCTGAGGCTGGTATCCACTAAAGCTTCTGATGAAAGGTATTCCCTCATGGACCTCGGGCCCTGATTTGACTTCATGGTCCACACTTTGCAATACCAGGTTGTACGATGGGTTGTACGACAGATTAGGAAATACGCCATTGATTGGAGAAGATGGCAAGCCTGGCTGAGATGTGAGGCCTGTAGTGGGTAAAGTGAGACATGGCTGGGATTTCTTCAGAGGCTTATTGTAGTAACCTTTGGGAGTCTGAGAGAAGGTAAAAGGCTTGTAGTCCTGGTCAACATCAGGCTGTGGTGGTCTGAATTGATCATGTAGCTTAGGAATATCCAAGACCTCTCTGTAGTAACTCTGATCAAAATGAAGATGATGACTCGTATGTTCATCCTGAAAAACAGAGAAAATGACTGTGGCGTGAATAAAGCACGGCGGGACCACGGAGCAATGTTCAGAGCCAACTTTATTTAATTCACGTCACACCACACACACACCAACCGCTGAGTCCCCGTGTTTTAACACGGCGGGCGTGATTGCGGATGCCGTGCAGGTGCGTCCGCACGGCACCGCAAACCACGCCCCACCACAATGACCTCACATTCACAGGAAAGATATCTTGGTGCTTAGAGATTAGGATAATGGACTATACAAGGAAATCAACAAATAACTGAATAGTAGAATATCCTGATATATAGATGCATCATTAGCTGGCCAATGCTACATGATATAGTACTGGCCATCTCAACTTACTGGTAAAGTCAGCCACTGGTCGGTCAGCACTGGTTTTGGGATTGGAGGATAGACTTTGTGTTTGATGCTGTTGGGTCAAAGAATGCATCAAAATTTAAACAAAAACAATTATTGGAAGCAAAAGTGGCAAATTTCACAGAAAATAAATGTGCATTGCTTACCATGCCCATTGTCTGTAGCAGATAATTGTGCTGACAGACAGAATAAGAAAAACTGCTCCCAGGGATATCAAGATCAGCATTATCAGTTGATCAGCTGGTGAAAACAATGAATCGCATCAAGTAATTCAAAGAAAATGACAAATGTTGACAGTCTTACTAAAGAAAATAGTCCATATGGGGAAATAATTAACCTACCCGGGGCATTCAAGGTGACATTGATGGATGAATTACCACAAAGTCCAAATGCTGTTGATGCTGTCACCGTGAAGGTGTACATACTGATGTTCAGGTTCTTTGCAGTGAGGCTGGTGGCTTCAGGATCATCTAAATCAACACAGGGTGACAGCCATTATTACAACATAAATACATGTTTACGATCATCTGGCAACACTGGAGACTTACTTTATTTATCTCAGTTACAAGCTAATCTTTGTGCGTGGAGAAACAAAACCAGGACTTTGTTATCAGTAGAGAAACTTAATAGTGTGATTAAGTGTGTCATCGTCCGAGTGACAATCAATTTGTAAACGACACGTCGGCAACATGTTTCAGTTAACACCTTAATACTACAAAAGATGCAAGAAAAAACTTGATGTACAGCAAATCAGTTGAAGACATAATTTTTGACATTTTTTAGTATAAAAGACTTTCAAACGAATCTGATATTTTCTGCCACCAATTTGAAGAGTTATAGCCCTTAATATTTCATCCAATTACAACCATAAAACAGGCATGGTTTGTTTTACGTTTGTGCCACAAGGGGTTGTTATTTCCATTTGTTAGATCTGGCATTATTAACAGTTTCTAAGTCCAAGATAATGGAAAAAAGTGGCATCATGGTCAAATTAACCCAATAAAATCATCATATGCCAGGAGGTAAACACTAACGATGGATTAAAATCAGCTAACAGAGCACCTATGGAAAAGTGCTGATCCTTTGACTTCTAAGAACCTGGCGCATCAATTGATTCATTTCAAAACCATACACAGAACAAACATTACACCCTATAGGAGGTTCCAGATGAAACTACAGGCTACGTATCACTGTCACATCTGCAATGATTCGTCACCAGGCACGTTTTTGCACATGTTTTGGGACTGTCCTGTTGTATCCAATTTTTGGGTCTTTGTGAACTCTGTGTTATCTGAGGTGCTGGACGTTTTTTATATTCCCAATCCTGGTCTTTGTCTCCTTAATGATACCTCTGAAATCTCCTTAAAACAAATACAATGCAAAATGTTGTTCGCTGGATTCACATCCGCAAAGAAGACTATTACAAAGCAATGGTTCAGTCCTGACATTTGTAAGGAATCACTCTGGATACGATGTCTTATCCATGTTATTAATTTTGAACATACCACAGCAAAATTAAATAAAGTTCGACCCACGACTGTTGAAGTTTGGAAAATCTTCTCATCCAAAGTTATCTCCTGGAACAGGCACTAACTGTTTTTGACTGTGTTTTTGTGTTTTTTCTTTGCTGTCCCTATGCCTTGTGACCAATGTTTGCTTTGCTACTGCAGTTTACAGATGTGCTGTATATGTCTGTACCCCCCCTGCCCCAACCCCGTTTTAAATCAATAAAATGTTGATCACAAAAAAAAAAAAGTGCTGATCCTGTACTTAATGTCCAGACTGAAATCTTAGCTGGCCTGAGTGAGTATGCCTTCATACTGTACCTGTGCTCACGTTAAAAACGTTCCCGCTCTTGTCCTGGTAGTAGAGAATATATCCATGGATGGAAGCAGTCTGCTTTTCCAGAGGTATGGGCTCCCAGGATACCTCAACAGCCGAGTCTTCCTGTTTGTATTTGAGTTTAAACAGCTCGACTCCTATTTCTGGAAAGATGTGACATGCATAAAATACACTGCTGATTGAACCATCGCATTTTGTGAGAAATCACTGAATCAGTCTTACTGGTCTCTCTGATGTAGCCCTTTCTTCTCTGTAGTAGCACCGCAGCTCCCTCAGTGCAGGCGTATATGGACAGCAGGTATCTCCGACCATCTTCAAAGTTCTCTGGAACAACAAAAGGAGCTGTGCTTAAACAGATGCAAATATGATCTGCAACAGTTTTGTAGGCAAAGATGAGGACGTACTTGAAAAAACTGTGGTATGAGTTCTGTTGGGAGGCACTTTCATCCACTCGAAGGTGCAATTACCGAAGACTGGACACCAGTCCACTATGTAGCCACAGCTGGCGTTAGGACTATCAGGCCAGGACAGGAAGAAGCTACCATTGCTGCCACTGATCCAGGAGGTCTTCACCTCGGATGTATCTGAAAAATACTCTTTAAAATTAGATTTTACAA